TTTAAAGAGTTTGTCTGCCATTGCAATAGAAACAGGTTTGCACTTCCACTGCAGTTTGCAGGGATGCATTCATTGAATAAACAGTTTAAAATAACTAAGAAACAGTAACGCAACCATTGATTAAAAGAATAACTGATTGTGGCCAAATATTGTGATTTCAAATTTTGAAACACATTTTCAGAGTGTGTCAATGAAGTGATTATAAGTTACTGAAACAAAGTAATGAAACTGTATTCATTGTGCTCTGTTTGGGACAGCTGTGTGACATTGAGGAACAAAGGTTATTTTGAGCCATGAGATTAACCACCGCTGTTAACACAGTGTTAAAGTGTTTAATCGATCTGGCTGTTTAAGACTGTGGATGTATTTATAGAGCTGCAGGTCTGTGCGTCTGTTTGACTGAGGGACAGCAGACAGGCTGACACCAAATCTGTCTGTCAGGGAGGATGGCAAAAAGAGAGACAGGGCAACAGTGACCTCCCTTGTTTTAAGTGGTGGTGGGTGGGGGGTGGGGGGTGTTTGGTTATTGTTTCTCCATTAACAAAAGTAGACCAAGGACGAGGAGCAGTCATGCAGCAAACATGCCCCACTTGGACTGACATACAGTCATAAACTCTTTGGCACATAGACACACAAGTGCCTTGAGTCAGTAGGTCAGTGAGGTGAATTTATTTTAGTTTTTTAACAAAATGAGACAAATTAGGACTAAAACGGTGAGTATAAACTGTTCTTTGTAAAATAAAATTTAACCTGGCTGTGAGCTATGGAAAACAACCTCATATGTCTTGTCTGTTATCTTTTTACTTTTTTCATTTTCTGACTTAGGAAAGCCAAAAACAAAAATCACCTGTTGCTTCCATGTCTTTGCACATTGATACAGCTACTGACATGAGTGACATATGGTGGTGTCAAAAGTCAAAGTCAAAAAGTATGTAGCACCCTCTGCTGTTTCAAAAAGAGTATGACGATTAGGGAAGCACAGTTAATCGGAATATTATCGAAATCGCAATATGTCCAAGTGCAGTATGCAAATTGCCTTTCAAAATTCCAATCCAATTCGCCCGTCAAAACATGTTTGTAAAATTTTGTAAAAATTTCACATCCTGATTGTTTTTGTGCAAATTTAATTTGTGCTGCAAAAATGATCATTCCCACATAATCTTGAATCGCAATCGCAATATCTGTCAAAATAATCGCAATATGATGTTTTTACCATATCGTGAAGCCCTAATCAAGATTAATGTTTCATCTCAATGGTATGAATCTTCACTTATTTGTATTGCTATTTAACTGTCTCACAATATATCACTACATTCCTGGTAAACATAGTGTGTTTGTTGTTTTGTGGACTCTTTTGCCTCTCTTTCTTTTTGTCAGTGTTTGTGTTTGTCACTGGTTGCTGGGAAGCTGTAACTAACGTGGCATGTGTCAGCAGGCGGGGTTCCTCTGAAACAGTGACCACAGCATTATATCATACTCTGCTCAAAAGAGCATTTGTGATCAGAAATGGTAATTCAGTTTTTGGGACGTCTTGCTTTTCAAGGCTTTTCAGCCTGTGGCAAAATAAACTCTTGGGAGTGGGAGGGAAGGTTTTAATTTAGAAGCCTGTTGAAATCAGCTTTGTGTGTGCAATACGTCAGGGTTGTTGGCCGTTTCCTGCTCAGGCTGCATGCACAGGAAACTTTTCAGCTGTATCTGGGTGTGCCTGATCAACTAATGCTTTCCCCTGTGCGATATCAGTACACTCAGTATGTAGCCATGGCAACATTGTAAGCAATGTTAACTCAGCGTGGTTAACAAGATGACATACACATACGGCCAGTGTGTCCCCTGTAGTCATTCTGCAGTGGTGCATTATGCGCTACGGTGTGTCAGTTAATACTGCAGCTTCTCAAAGATGTACGGTGAGCACAAGAGCAGAAAAACTGTCTGCATTTTTTAAATGCCGGAAATAATGACAATAATCATTCTGCTAGAAAACCTGTGCCGTTGACTGGGAAGCTCTAACGCGAGTGCCACTGCCATCAGTAGTGCCTTTAAATGACTGAGGAGCACTAGTGTACCATGGCACCACCTAGAAAGACCTGAAGCTGTAACTAGTTGAGTGGAAAGTTCAATATTTCCTCATGAGATGTAGTGAAGTAGAAGTATAAAGTTGCAGAAAATAGAAACACTTAAGTAACACTTACCTCAAAATTGTACTTGAGTAAATGCACTACTTTCCACCACAGGAGCTTGCATACACACACCACTGGTTTGAGCTGTGAATCTGATTTTTGAAATCTTTTGGTAGGCAGAACAGATCTCAGGAATGGGCTGCAAGGAGAAACACCTGTGGCAGAATTTCAACATCATGATACCACTGAACATTTTCTCCAGGCCAAGGAGGATAAAGCGCAGCAATGAATCATGCACACTGTGT